CTTCCTCCCCCCAAACCTTTCCTTCTAAGCCCACCAGAGTTGAGGGAGATGATAGGGAGAGCTGGCCGAAACCCTAGATTGGAGATCGAGGAGGAGGAGGCCTACCGCTCACCGGATCCTCCATGGTTGGCGCCAGATCTGTCGGGTCCACCATGGTCGGCGCTGTGTGGGGGAAGGAGCTCAGCGTGGTGGGGGGAGGAGCTCGGTGCGGTCATGGGGAGGCGGTGGGCGGCGGCACGTAGGGAGGAGCTCGCCGGGCGCGGTCGTGGCCGTCGGGAGGAGGTTGCCGGGGAGGGAGGGAGGGAGGGGAGGCGGAAGACACGGGCGTGGGGAGGGAGTGGTCATGCGGGGCGACAATAAAACGGATGACTGTAATTAAGTCATTACCTTTTCTTTTTGGAAAGAATCATATTTGGCTGGTTATATTCGTGGTCTACATTGGTGGGATTATTCGTTGTGACACCATAACAAAGGCCTGCTTGGCAAAGATGATGAACTTCCATAGGAGAATCATCAATTCGAAGGGGAGATCATTTGGATCTGTCGCACTGTGGTCTTCAATTTCACCCTAAATATGCGACTTTCACCATGTGAGAATAGCTAAATAGCGATATGCTTTTGTTTTCCTTTGGGACACTCTTTCAATTTGAGTTGTCTTTAAAAAAGCAACGGTCACAGTAGAGGATTACTTGGACTAAACTTCTATCCCGTTGCTTTTTTTTTCATCAAGTGTCACACATATATCTATGCTCATCACTATATTTCTATGCCACCTAGGCACTTGTTCATAATCTCCAAATGTCATCGTCACCCCTAAACTAATCGCCCCCCTCCACGCTAATCCCCCGCCCCGCGCTAATCGCGCCCCCTCCTACGCCCGCGTTCACCTCCTCCTCCGTGAAAAGAAAAACCGCAACTTCGTTAAAAAAAGAAAAAAAAACCGCAACCGCTCCCAACCTCGCACGCGGCCACGCGCACGTCCCCCATCTCCATGCGGCCATGCCGCCGCCATCGCAGAGGCCCTCCTGCCGTCCCCTCCCCGCTCTGTCGCCGCGCCGCCGCTGCTCCTCGCCTTCGCCCCGTGGGGCCGTGTCCGCCTCCCGCGGCGCTGCCCCGCCCTGCCCTGCTCTGCGCCGCCGCCGCCCCAACGATGTGCCAGTGTGCCACCGCCGCCACACACAGCCGGCGCGTTGCCTGCCCCGCCTTGCCCTACTCCATGCCGCCATGGGTGTGGGTGAGCTGTGCCGCAGCGAGATCTTCCCCGGAGGTGGCGACGGGAGCTCCTCACATGAAGGGCATTGGCGAGCAGGGATGCAGTTCGTGTCTCGTCGCTGGTTTCCCAATAATGGAGCCTAACCGTCGTGGCTCCCTCTCTTCCTGTCACTGTGTGGTGGTCAACAGGCCAATAAAGCTTGTAGCTCCTCCAGACGTCCATGGCTGTAGACCGGGAAGATCTACCAAGGCAACTCCTCCAGACGTCCATGGTCGTAGACCGGAAAGATCTACCAAGGCCCCGGTCAGACCCGGGGATGGACATGCTAGAGACCACGAGCATGAAGATCGTCGACGGTCAAGAAAAGGCATGAAAGCTCAGTGATATTTTTCCTGTCTGTTTAGCAGGTCTGAACACTCGTTGCCTACTGAGAGCGTTGGTTGCCTTCGTCACCCACCCTATGCTAAAGCAACTTTGGCTGATTTAGGTAGTAGTTGTTAGTGGTAACTGTTTGATTGTGTATGTCTTGAGTAGAATGTCTGAAACAGCATTAATGTTTTCATGGGTACGCTGACATGCCTTTGTCCACTATTTTGTAGGCTAAGTGTTGAGGCTCATACATATTGCCCGATTTCCAAGGCCGAGATGGAAATTATGTGCCTTCAGAAACATCTTACAAGAAACTGCCTTACATGATGCAGACTTAAATTCCTACCGCCATATTGAGAGGAAGAACATAAAAAAGGAAGGTGCTTACAATGACAATTGACGATGCCTGTTTATGCAGCACCCAGTTAAGTGCTATTTTATGAATGAAATGCAGATCTGGACAAATATATAGCCCTTGACTTTTTTTAAGTATGATTTGAGTAATACCTGCAAGGATTTGGTTTAATATGCTGAATTTTGCACACCATCTTTTTTTTTCACCAGCACTAATAATATAAGGAGTTATGGGAATGGTGTTCTTTATTTATCCCTACTTGTCTGTCAGGATCTCAAGGTTCACCCACTTGTGGAATACGGTTCAAAATCCTTGGAGGGCATCCTTCCTGAAATCTTGAATGGGCTGCAAAAGCAAATATCACGGTTGTTGTCAAAGCTTATGGTTTGAAAGCTACAATCCAGGTACGAAAAGTTCTGTCATAAGCTGGATTTGAAATTGATATTCACTTAGTCATTTGTCAAGTTTAGCTAAGTGAAATCTGCTTTTTTTTTGAGATATTGTAGATATTGATTTCCATGTCTTTGCTTCACCTCATATTACTCTAAAGCCCCATGCTTGTTTGATTTTAACCCCAAAATTGTTTGATTTTAACCCCAAAATACAAGGTGGGCATGCAGATAACTGGCCATGAATCTTCACTGGGTACAAATTGTCCAAATTTTAGGCATGGAGGAACATGGATATTGGAGGTGGCACTGGTAAATGGAATTTATTTGTTCGCATAATAATTTTCAATCATGTTCTCATTTACATTGATTCCCTTGCTCGAACCTTTTATTTGTCTATCTATGGTGATCATTTTGTGATTGAAAAAGCAGATGCAAATTATTATGGGCAGCCATCATGATACTGTTGTTCTGCAAGAGGTCAGTTTTTGCTCCAGACCAGTTGGCTTTCTAAGTTTGGGTGCTACTATCTGCTGTGTTTTCTAGCTCTTCACTCAGATTGACAACGACGGGCCTGAGGCGGGGAGCCAGGGGTCCGTGCTGCCCTTCCCAAATTGACCGGAGCCGCTGTCGGCACCATTGAGCCCTGGAACCCACGTGCACCAGGTATGTGCCATCGCCTTCCATTGGAATCCCTCGATGTCCATTCGTTTGGTTTGTTCGTTGCAAATTGCAGAGCATATTGATCTGTTGTAATGAATCCATTGAACTCATCTCATACTTGTAGTTAAAATATAACGTGTAATCCCATAAAAAAGGAAAAAAATATAATTGGTCTGTTTCTGCAATGTAATTTGTGGTTCATAAATTGCAATGCCCTCATTGATGACATGTAAGCATGAAATTTTAGAGATTTAATCTCTTTCCACAGATAGCATGTGTCTGTCTACCATGGATTGGTGTGTCAGTTGGCCAGTTCTTTCTGTTGTCGAGCTCCTTGGGGACCAACCAGGGCTAATGTCAGTTAATTAACCAGAGACTCAGTGAGCATGCCAGTCATCACTAAATCCTTTCTGAATTGTTCAGCTCTTCAGTTTTTGGACATAGGAGGAGGATGAGATTAGACACCAAGTCAGTATGGACTTTCAAACAAGGTTACTTAACACGGGAATAGATACATAACACATGATTAAGGTGTTCAGAAGTGAGATATCCAATATTATGCTGGTGCTGCTAACGTTTCTCAGAATCTCAAGTGTTCCTCTTGCCATGCTCTGATTTCTTAGTTGGTTGGTGTGTTTGGCTTTTGGGCGCAGAGAAGGAGCAAGATCAACGAGAGATTAAGGCACTACAGAGCCTGATGCCGAACACCATATAGATCGAAGAGCTTGTGTACAAGGCAATTTATAAGGGTTTCTGTGCGGGTATCTCTCTCACATAATTCTCTTCTTTGTTTCCTTTGTTTTTAAATCTCTTCTATATCTTCCCTAAACTTTCACTTCTGGTCTTGTAGGAAACAAGTTAGGATAAGATATCTTTGATAAGATTGATACAACTAGGCTTAATGCTCTCCTGAAGGATAGTTCCATCACATTGCATGGAATTGTAAGTTGAAAGAATCTTGTCTTACTGGGTTTTAGTTGCCCATTCTTTCAAGCTTTTTAGTTTTGCACAGATACTTAGAGCAATTGATGTAAATGTATTGTTTTTTCTGGTATTTTAGTTTTTATAAATGTTACTTGTACCTACAGCTCAACTTAATGCAAACAAGTAGTTTATCAATGTTACACAGTTGGTCATATCTTCAATTCTTTTTACACCTCTGATTATTAACTTCCAGATAACAAAATGTAAGCATTTTTATTATGCTTTGTTCATGTGACTACCATCATGTTAAAATGGTCTAAGTGTATATGTACTTGTCATGGATTTTTAAACCCGTAGCAATGCACGGGCATTGACCTAGTTGTACAAAGAATTACAATATTTTATTTCCTGTATTTTTGCTAATGTCTTGCTTATCTTTTCTCATGCTCTACATCGTTTGGTCAACATTCTACTTTTGCTAAGAGTTGAATGTTCCGTGAAATAAACTGCTCCTTTTTTGCTGCTGGATTTGGCGGAAGAAACAGATAATGGCTTTTGATGGAATCGATAGGATGAATTTCATTTGTTGAAAATACCCAGCAAAACTATGTCAAGGTGCTTGTAAAATTTGTAGAGTTGCTTCATTTTTTGGTACACTAAACTGCAAATACAATGAATTATACAGGTATATGGAGGATCGAATCTAGAATACAGTATTGGCAGAATTACATGGATTTTTTGTTTTGTTTTATGTTCGATGCTCTGTTTTGCCGATAAATTGTGTCAGGTTCTGTTGTGCAAGTGAGCACTGTCACCTAGCCGTCACAATGCTGCAGATTATGCGGGAAGATAGTAGCGTGAAAAACAAACCAGAGCATTTTTCCTGCCTGATAAGTTGAAGCAAGGCTGCTGGATAGGTTCAGCGCAGAAAAAGTTATTCTCCTCATGCCAATACTTGGTATACATCTTACAACATCATCCAAAGAATGAACAAAAGGAAGCTACCAAGAAATCCTACATCACAACCACATTTGGACCCTTAGTTTTGCAATTTGCATAAACATATGAACGAATTGTCCCTGCGCCTTCAGGCTGCGCCACTGCAGAGGTGGGCATTGCCGCTGCACATGGACGGGTTCCTGACCAAGGCGTTCTCGCCCTCGACGAGTGGTATGTGCGGCTCCTCCTCGTCCAGCGCCGCCCCCTCGACGTCCTCGTGCGTCAGGAAGCACGGCTGGTTCGTCGAGCACAGCACCCGCGCCCACATCCGGTCCGTGATCACCACCTTGTTCTGCTTCTCGGTGATCCTCTGCAAGATTCAATTCAATGGCCGGACAGACAAGGTCAGTTCACTACTGCATGGAGAGTAGAAATTTCATGGTGAAAAACAGCTACTTGGATTTGAGGGGGCTTACGTAGAAGGGGATGTAGGCGTGCCTGCAGTTGACCGGCGCTACGGTGAAGCCGGTGTACCCGGCCATGGCGCCGTGCAGGGCGCTGTGCGCCAGCAGCGTGCAGTAGACGTTGTCGGAGGCGTTGGACGGCACGGCGCGGATCATGTACGTCGGGTCGATGTACTTGAGGGTGATGGGGAAGCTGGGCTTCTTCTTGAAATGCTCCTTAATCTTATGGGAGAGCCAGAGCCCGACGTCGAGGAGCACCTTGTTGCAGGAGGCGTCGTGGGTGTCGGCGAAGTTCATGCTCTTGGCGATGAGGTCCTGGCCAGCGCCCTCGGCCACAACGATGACCATGTGGCCGTTGTCGCGGAGGCGCTTCTCCACGAACTCGAGCAGGCCGCCCTTGTCGTCGAGGTAGAAGGGCGACTCCGGGATGAGGCAGCAGTCGATGTCGCGGCTGGCGAGCGTGGCGTACATGGCGATGAAGCCGCTGTTGCGGCCCATGAGCTTGACGACCCGATGCCGTTCTCGGCGCTCGGCCTCGACGTGCGCGGCGTTGATGGCGCGCTGCGCCTCCTCCACGGCGGTGTCGAAGCGAACGACTTGTCGATGACGGCGATGTCGTTGTCGATGGTCTTGAAACACGCCCACCACGGCGCGCGAGAGGCCGCGCCGCTGCACCTCCTCGTGGATGGACGCGCGCGCCCTTCTGCGTGCCGTCGCCGCCGATGATGTACACCTGGTTCACGCCGCGGTCCTGGATGTTGTCCACGATCTTGGCGTGCCCCTGCCCGCCCGCGGGAGGTGCCCGACACCGTGCCGCCGCCTTGTGGATGTCGTTCACCGGCGCGCGTCCGGCTCCACCGTGTTGCGCGCGTAGAACCCCTTTTGTACCCGCCCTCGATGCGTAGATGCTGGTCACGCCCGTACATGTCGTGGAGGCCGCACACGAGCTCGCGGATCACGGTGTTGAGGCCAGGCCAGAGGCCGCCGTAGGTGACGATCGCCGCCGTCACCTCGTCTGGCTGGAAGTAGATAAAGATGTGCATGCAGCCCGTGGGCCAAAGGCCCGGCCCAAAGCACGGTTATTGGGCCCGACCCGAGCACGGCACAGCCCGAACCCTAACCGGGCCCGTGCCGGCCCAAAGCCCGTAGCAGGCCGGGCTTGGGTTGAGGGCTCGGCCCGCCGGTCGACCCGGTGGAGGCCCGGCAGCTGGAGGGGCTATATAAGCCCCCCCGCCCCGGCGGACCCCCACCTTCGGCCATTCCCCTCACTCACTGGTCCGCCTGCCCCATGACCTCGCCGCCCACCACCACCTCCCGGGCTACACTGCCGCCGGGATGTTGAGATCTCCTCTTCTCTGATCTCTCCCCCCTCCTCGTCTCACTTCTTCCTCCCTACCTCTCTGACTAGTTTGACTCTTTGTCTCTCTCTGACCGGATTTTGGGATCTCATTTTGTCTCCCCCCTCTGGCTCTTCTCCGTCTCGTCTTCGTCTTCTTTTCCATTTCTCCGGTGCCGGGCTCCGTCTCCATGCAGGCAAGTACCTCTAACCCTAACCCTAACCCTAACCCTAGATCTAGTAGGCAATCACACGAACCCTAATCCATTTCTCGGTGTTTTTGGTTCGTAGGTCGCCGATGTGTAGTAGTGGTGCCGCAGGGCGTCGAGGGACGGTGCCGGTTGGGTGGGTGCCATCTCGCCATGGCCGGCTCTGAGTCCGTGATGGTGACGATGGTCCAACCATCAACGACAGAGCTCGAGGCCCGGTGGCAGATCCCGATGACGAAGATGACATGGGAGATCTTGCTCATCTCTTGTTCGGTAGGAGTCTTTGCTCCGACCAACCGAGACGATCACGGCGACTAGTCTTTGACCACCAGCGATGCAACATCTCTGGCTTCGTCCACCACTAGTAAGCGTCGATCCTCGTGCAGGCTAACTTTGATGAAATCATAGAGACAGTGGACGGTGAGGTACGTGTTGTTGCTATTTGTAAGCTCTGTAAGTCTCGTTTGTCTGGTAAATCTGCTAATGGCACTAGTCATTTGAAAAGACATATGCTCTCATGCAAGAAGAAAACAGAACATGCTAATTTGGTTCAAACTAGGCTTGCTTTGAATCCTAATGGGTCTTATATGAACTAGGAATATAGGCCTGATGTTGCTAGAGCTGAGCTTTGCCGTTTGATTGCTAGATTAGATCTGCATTTATCTATTGCTGACAATGATGCTTGGGATGATTACATTCAGCGTGCTCACAATCCTAGATACAAGAGAGTGTCTAGATTCACCACATCTAGAGATCTTTCTAAGCTTTTCAATGAAAAACTGCATCACCTAAAAAATGAAGTAATGCCTGGTGTGTCTTCTGTTTGTTTGACATCTGATATCTGGTCTGGCAATGCTAAGGAAGATTATATCACTGTTGTTGCTCACTACATTACTTCTGAGTGGGAACTTAAGAAAGCTGTTATTGGCTTTAAACTGATTGAAGTGACTCATAGTGGTATTAACATTGCTGAAATTATTGCTGGTGTGCTTGGAGATTGGGGCCTACTTGACAAAGTTTTCTTTGTTAGCCTTGATAATGCATCTGCTAATACATCTGCTATGCTTACTTTGAGTCCTCTGCTTGCTGGTTACTTGGGTTATGATATTGATCCATTGAATCCTAGTAAAAAGATCTATCATGTTGTGCATCAGAGATGTGCTTGCCATATAATTAATTTGATTGTTAAATCTGGTTTGAAAAGGCTTAAACCACACATAGAGGTTTTTAGGACTGCAATTAACTTTCTGAATTCATCTAATCATCGCATTGCACAATTCAAAAACTGATGCATTGCTAAGGGTATGAGGCCTCATAAATTTGCTTTGGATATGGATGTTAGATGGAACTCAACCTACCTTATGCTAAAACATCTCATGCCATATACATCTGTGTTTTCTGTGTTCATCAATTCTCAGTCTGGCTATCCTCTATTGAATGAACAGCATTGGTACATTGTTGACAAGGTATTGCAGTTCCTTGAGTTGTTCTATGATTCAACTGTTGAACTTTCTGGTGTTTATTACCCCACTAGTCCTTTGGTACTGCATCACATACTTGAGATTGCATCCCATCTGCATGAATTTGAACATGATAATGCTCTTGCTGCTGTAGTTGTGCCAATGAAGAATAAATTTCTTAAGTATTGGAAGAATATACCACGGTTATACTCTTTTTCATTTATTATGGACCCAAGGGCTAAGTTGAAAGGTCTGGGAAATGTGCTTGACTTGCTTGCTCTAAGTAACAATATGAGTTACATTGATTACTTTGCTGAGGTTAAATCTGAGTTGCATAAACTCTATGACAAGTATGAATCTAAGTTTGGTGTTGCTAGGCCAGCTAGAACCACCCATCCATCTGGACTGACAGGTAAGAGAAAGCAGGCATGGGGCAAAATTTTTGGAGGATCAGTTTCTTCTGGTCCTTCAAGTGCATCTGTAGGATCTATTGTGCCTCCTGGTCTCTCTGAGCTCACTGTTTACCTTGACAGTGACAATGTTGTAGCATATGATGATGACTTTGATATCCTCAATTGGTGGCATGAGCATAAACTAACCTATCCAGTTCTCTGTACCTTGGCTAAAGATATTATGATTGTTCCTGTATCAACTACTTCTTCGGAGTCTGCCTTTAGTCTTACTGGAAGGATCATTGAGGAGCGGCGACGGCGATTGGGCGCGAGACGGTGGAGATGCTAATCATGTCAAAGACTAGGAGCTAGGTGAATCTGGTGGACAGACACCTTGTGGAGGACAAAGAGCTAGAAGAGTACTTCAAAGAGCAATTACCTTGATGATGAAGTTGGTGGATCATCTCTGCTGGTGATGGTTGACTCTCTTGAGGCGAGAGCACGAGGAAATTTGTGAGTGCGACTTTAGTTGTGAGAGTTGAGACATTTGAGCTAGCTGGTTTGTAATAACTTTGAACAATTTTAACATTTTAATTTATTGAGCTGCTTTGCATTCTTTTCCCTTCTAGGGTTTTATCTCACGAGGTGTCAGTTTTACCTAGAAAGGTTTTTAATGAGGTGGCATTGCACAAACACCTCAAATCTTTTGTCATCAGGTGTTTCTATGATTGTTGAATATGAATATGTGAACCTGTGATTGTTTGAAGTTTGAACTTTGTGATTGTCTTTGTTTGAAATATGGTGTTTCTTGTGTAACGGGCTATGGGGGCCGGCCCGATGGACCATGATGGGCATGGGGCTCAGCGGGCCGGCACGGCCCGATATTCGACCCATGGACCATGCACGGGCAAATCCACCGAGCACGGTGGATTGTTTCGAGCACGGCCCGGTGGCCCTGACGGTTCAAAAGGGCCCGAGCCCGATCGGGCCGTGCAGCCCAACTCGGGCCGTCTTGGCCCGTTGCTCATCTTTAAAGTAGACGCCTTGTGGCGGGCGGCCAGCCGGAAGTGCGTCCAGCAGCGCTGCTCTTGTGCACCACGATCTTCTTATGCCACCGTGTCGTGCAGGTTTCTGAAGTACCGCTGCTGTGATCGAACAAGCCGGATTTGTTTAATTTATTTCAACAAGAAACAAGAAATCGAAGACGGTAGAACAATAATTAAATCGGATTGCTTACTTGACAACGTAGGCGGGGTGGTCTTGCGGGGGATTCGGGTAGCTCTGCACATGAACAAGAATCAAGAACATGAGCTAAAGCAATCCATCTGATTAACTAAAGCAATCTTTATCAAGAAAGATGATTAGATTAATTAACTTGGGACTCACCTTGAGCTCGGGAAGGTAGTCAGTGAGGTGTGGGACGTCCTCAAGGACGTACCCGCCACAGCCGCCGGTGAGCTTCTTCTTGGCCGGCTTGGCCTTCCTCGCCGGTGACGGTTTCGCCATGGTGGCAAAGGAAGGCTTCAATTCCATAAGCTTGTGCTGCGGTGCCTGAGTGATGGCCACCGGAGCCGGTGCGACAACGACGGTGGCGGTCTCCATCTGTCGCACCCAATTTTGCATAGCAAAACCAAGTACTCATATATGTGCGCCCAGGATATCCAAACACACACATATATCACAAATTGCAATAGTATCAAAGTAAAGTACTTATTACATTGCATATCTCATCATAAAATAAATACAAAGTTTGCTCAATGGCAATATTATTACAATCACAGCGGAATAACTAGCCCAACAGCCACAGGGACTCCAACTAGTGAACGTCTCCCTAGTAGTCCTGGACATCCTCTGGGAACTCTTCATATCCATTATCTGTTACCCATCCAGGATTTTCATTGGATATAAAGCAAGTGTGAGCTCACCATGCTTAGCAAGTATATCAAAGGGATCTATGAGGCTCAAAAGGCTTAACACTGTTTGACTGTGGTTCGCAATTTTAGTTGATCAAATTTTAGCATCCTGAGTCACTACTTTAATGAACTGTCCCAATTCCCAAATGATATTAAAGTATAGTCATATCATCTCAATTCTCAACCATCCACCATTCCCAGTAACCACTAATCTTGAAGGATCCAGACCACTCGTATCCGTGAGCACGGCTGTTATAACAGGTTAATTATTTCTGCAGAAATTGTACATCTTTACCCACCGAGCCATGATTCCCAATGCCGGGGTTCGCGAGACCCACTACACCTCTTCCCAGGAAGTGTGGCAAGGTTTCACTATGAAACCCTTAGCTAGTTGCACTAACAAGTCATAGCTACAAAGGAGTAGTACACGTGGGCATCGCAGCACGGTACACCCTAGCAGAAAAAGGAAAGATACCCTCTTACCCTTACTGGAGCTATAGACGAGCTAGTACAATCTAGTTAACAGGTTAAAGTCAGAGCCATGTGACACTCGGGGTTGTACGGTCCCTCCTGGGTTGCCGCTTCAGGATTAAGTCCTTATGGAGAGGCACTAGAGTACTCAACCCCGTACTCTAGCCCCCTATCTGTTACTACAAAGCTTCATTTTATCACATTGCATATAGCCTTTAGTCATGTTTAGCAATTATTTTACATTAAGCGCTGCAACATCTATCCAAAATGTCTACCCAAAATCCCCAGGTATCAAGGATATATGGTACAAGAATTTATCTAGGTAAAGTCTTTAAAGGCATTTCAAATTAAACACATGCATGAATGTAAGTGGTAATAGTTCATAGGTAACAAGGGGCCTTTAGTATACATGCCTTCCTCAAAGATGTCCTAGAAGTACTGCTGATCCTGTTGTGGGTCCTCAGTCACCTCAAATGGCTCACCCTCTAATCATGTTCCAATCACCAATCAAGCATCATACCAATCATTACATGCATACAAGATAGACTTTCATTAGAATAGTACACCAAACAGTAAAAACATAAGTTGAAGAGCTTATAAATCTATTCTACGTACTGCTACGAACACGTGAGCAAAAGAATCACTCAAATCGGACTTAAAACGTGAAAGTTGTGCATGAAATAAGATGTAATGGCAATTATGTAAATAAACTGAACCTATTATTGAAATAAAACAATTAAAAATATAAATACTCACGGTTATAGGACTGCGTGTACTAAATCTGGAAAATACAGGGGCCTAACCGAATAAAAATAGGACTAAGAAATAATTACTTTGAACTAAAATGGACTGCGGGTTGATTCTACATAAACAGAGGGGGTTTTCTAAAAAACTGCAAGCGGCTTGACTGCGGGTTGACCTAGCTGTTGACTGGGTGGACACGTGGCGCTCACTGATTAGCGCGGTGTGCCACGCGGCATGGGCCAGCGCTGACGCGGTGCTGACGCCGCTCTGTGGACCGAGTCCACGGCTCGCTGTGGACCGAACCGGTAAGATCTAATCAATGCCGTCCACGCGAGATCTAACGGCGCAGGGTGGGTGCGGGGCAGCGGGTCGCCGGGGAAGAAGCACATCACGGCGGCGCCATGGCCGGCGGCGACGATGATCCACGAAATGGCATTCTAGCGCATGAAATAGGGAATAGAAGGCACAGGAGGGGTCGGCAGCTCACCGCGAGTTGATGGGAGGTGTTCACGACGTTTGGGACAGGTTCTAGAGGCGAGATCGACGGCGGCGGAGCTCTGGAGAGAGAGGACACACGGGTGAGGTTGAATCTGAGCATGGGGTCACCAAATCAACGAGATGAAGGTACCTTTGGCTACGGGGAAGCACGGCGGAGCTCGGTGTCACGTCAGCGTCGGCGATTGAGGCGCGGGCAAGGGAGAGCTACGGCGGCGGTGGTTCTCAGCTGCGAGCAGAGGATGGGAGAGGGAGAAGGGATTGCGCGGGGATTTATAGGTCGGGCGATGAGCGCTAGAAGGAAGGAGAGCAGGCGGATTTGGGCGAGATTGTCCACTTTCCATAAGTGGCGACGGCGGCAGGATTTCCTTGCCGTGCAGCGCTGACGGCGGTAGAGAAAGGAAAGAACCGGGGGGAAAGAAAGGAAGCTCAAGGAAGTAGAAAGGAAAGAAGGGAGAAGACGATGACGGGTGGGGACAGTGCGTAGAGGAGCGGACGGGCACGGGGTGCTTCGGGTGAGAGCGCGTGAGGCAGGCCGAGCTAGCGGCGCTGTGGGCTGAAGTGCCGATGCGGGCCGCACGTAGGCGTGCGGTAGTGGGCCAGTGCGGGGCAGGCCGCCGAGTGGCTAGTGCAAAGCAGGCCAGCGTGGGAAAAAGAAAGGGGAAGGGGCTGGGCTGATTCGATTGGGCCAAAAAGGGAAGGAGATGAATTTTTTTTTCAAAATCAAATCCTTTTCCAAATCTTTTTTTTTCATTTCTAAGCCAAATTCAAATAGAATTTGAATTCAACTTCAAATCAACTAGCCCTACATTCAACCAAAAATAATATGCTCCGGCATGAATACAACAAACATGTTTCTAAGCCTTATAGTTTATTTTATTTATCCAATATTTATTATTTAGCCTAAGTTAAAAAAATACCTAGAAAATGTAATAAGGCTACGAATTAATTGCTAATTTGTAGTAAAATTTTTGGGTGTTACAAACCTACCCCCCTTAAGATGAATCTCGTCCTCGAGATTCGGATGGTTCAAAGAGATTGGGATAGTCAGTTCTCAGATCTTTCTCTCTTTCCCAAGTTGCCTCATCCACAGAGTGTCTGTTCCACTGAACCTTGCACATTCTTATTATCTTGCTCCTTATGATTCTCTCCGCTGTTTCTAAGATTCTCACTGGATATTCTTTGTATGATAGATCCCCTCGGATATCTAGTTCTTCCAAAGGTAGTTGCTGCTCAGGTACTCTCAAACATTTCTTAAGTTGCGACACATGGAAGACATCATGAACACCTGAAAGCTACTCCGGTAATTCTAGCTGGTAAGCAACTTCTCCTCTCCTGTTGATGATCTTGAATGGTCACACATACCTAGGTGACAACTTTCCCTTGGTATGAAATCTCTTAACTCCTTTCATAGGTGAAACTTTGAGATAAACAAAGTCACCGATTTCAAACACCAAATCTCTTCTTCTCGTGTCCACATAGTTTTTCTGACGAGATTGTGCAACCTTCAAGTTTTGCCTTATTGTTTGTACCTGTTTTTCTGCCAGTTGCAAAACATCTGGTCCAAAGACTTGACTTTCCCCCGTTTGATTCCAAAACGATGGGGTTCTGCACTTTCTGCCATACAATGCCTCAAACGGTGCCATCTTGAGACTCTTTTGGTAACTATTATTATAGGAGAATTCAGCATAAGGTAAACTCTTATCCCAACTTGTCCCATACTGCAGAGCACAAGCTCTTAGCATATCCTCTAAGATCTGATTTGTTCTTTCGGTTTGTCCATCTGTCTGCGGATGGTAAGTTGAGCTAAAGTTCAACTTCGTATCCATGGACTCATGCAATTTCTGCCAAAAATGTGATGTGAACTGTGTACCCCTATCTGAAACGATCTTCTTTGGTACTCCATGTAAACATACAATCCTTTCCATATATAACTCTACCAACTTTGCACCCGAATAAGTTATCTTGACTGGAATGAAATGTGCCACTTTTGTCAGACGGTCCACAATTATCCAGATAGAGTCAAATCCTCTCTGTGTATGGGGTAATCTAACTATGAAGTCCATTCCAACTTCTTCCCATTTCCACTCGGGTATCTTCATAGGCTATAGCAAACCTGCTGGCCTCTGATGTTCTGCTTTTACTCTTTAACACGTGTCACATATGGCCACATGTTCAGCTACATCTCTCTTTAGTCCATACCACCAGTATCTCTCTTTAAGATCAAGATACATTTTAGTACTCCCCGGGTGTATGGAATAGGCTGAGTCATGAGCTTCCCTCAAAATAGACTCCCTAATAGATTTTACTTCTGGCACACAAATCCTTTTGCCAAACCATACTATCCCTTGATTATCCATGTGGAATCTTAGGGCTTTACCAATCACTATATGTTTCTCAATATCCTTGATCCTCTCATCATTTAGCTGTCCCTTACGAATCTCTTGTTCCAGAGTAGGTTCTACCTCTAACTCCATGGTGTTGGCCACAATACCCAAATTTAGGTATTTGAACTCCTCACACAACTCTTTAGGTAGTTGAGTTGTATAGGCCATGTTCACATAACTCCTTCTACTCAAGGCATCTGCTACAACATTAGCCTTTCCTAGGTGATAGTATATATCCAAATCATAATCCTTGATTAACTCTAGCCATCTGCGCTGCCTCAGATTTAGATCTAACTATGTGAATATGTACTTCAAACTCTTATGGTCCGTATAAATCTCACACTTATGACCAATCAGGTAATGCCTCCAGATCTTGAGAGCATGTACCACGGCTGCTAACTCCAGATCATGAGTCGGATAATTTAACTCATGCTTTCTCAGCTATCTGGACGCATAGGCAACAACTCTGCCTTCTTGCATAAGAACGCCACCTAGA